TAGGCACGATAAGAATCAGAGAACCTTTATTTTATAATCGACATAAGTCAATCAAACGGAATCGAACATGATAAACTCATCAAACCCAAAATCTTCCTCAGGATACATTTTACATAAGGATTGCTACCCAAAGTCAATGGAGATTTTCAGCACGTAATCAAATGTAACCGAGAATGAAACTCGCATCACACGTTTATATTTTACATCAGAATGAGAAGTGGTACTATATCCTCATCTAAAAGAAGGCTACGGAAGTGTACTTGCTCCACAAGGCCGCGGCGAGACATAAGTGGCAACGCTGCTGTCCTGTCAAATCGAAACAGCTGTTGCACTTACTGTATTTATAATGGACAGTATAGGAAATGTTTTATGTTTACAATTTTTTTGTTTCTGTTGTTACCATGACAATAGGCATGACATTGCGACGTTTCCACACACCTCTTGTGTTAGAGGAGGACTATGGCAGTATCCAATGTCATTGATGTAAATTTTAGTTTCAGATTACGTAGGCCAATTGAGAATAAAACGCTCACGAAATGTTTTACGTTTGGATGAAAAGTGTTCTAGCAGTATCTTTAGTCAGTGTAGCCTATACAGTTAGTGTGTAGTAGAGGCAGTACGGCGCGGCTCAACAGGAAGAGGCAGGTTACAGAGCCGTGATCTGATTACATGACATCCGCTCCTCTCATGTCAGCGTCTATTGGATCAGCTGATCATGTGACAACTGACACACATCACTGCCACTACAATACTGTCACTGAGTAAATCAGTAAATGATGTCATAATTATCGACGTCTGCTGTATGTATGAAACGTTATTGAAAATTGTAGGCCCTATTTTGTAATTGAAAGATGGGAGTAATGTAAGAACATTTGTGCCCAAACATAGAGGCAGAACCAGCGTTCAGGTTTAATTGCTACTCAATCTTTACCTCTGACAGCGGCGAATGCTTGGGCAGTATCGAATAAAACTATGTACTATCGAACTGTGTAGATTGTCTATTGGTTAAAATCCCTTGTTTCTGTAGCTAGGACTCAGGGTAACTTGCTTGTAAAAGCCTAATCAGGGACACTGGACAGCTCAAATATCGTACTAAAATCCTATTCTCAGGATCGAACCGATGACCGTGTTTTGACTAACGAGAATTGTTTTCGGTACATTGTATGATGTTACTCTTCTCAAAAATTGTATTTTCGTATATGTGGAAAACAACACATCTATAGGATAAGCCTATCTTCAATAGGTTACAAGGGCTCGGACACTGGACTATAGTGGTGGAGGTTGATCCAAAGTACGGCACTGAGCATGACCACCTCGGGCTGATGGTGAAAGTCCGGGACTTGGAATGCTTTCCCACCGTCCAGCGACCAGCAGACCACTATAGCGCCGTAGTGCAGCCAGTGCAGCTGCAGGCGTTACAGAACACACGGTTGTGACGTCATACCCCACACTGATTACAACGTGTCATGGTCAAAATTGTGATATTGGAAGTATTGATTATACAGGAAGAATTGTTGCGTCAGTTGCAATTCGATCCGTCTATCAGGACTAAAATGGTCCAACGCCAAACATCACAATATGCTATAATAAATATACACTCATCTAACAAAGCGTTAAGGTGGTGAATTTTTCAATATTGGAAATGGCTTTGGATGTTCTGTCTTGGTGGGATGCTATCACTGGCACAGCCGTAACCGCATACCCCGTCCATAATCAACATGGTTCGTACGCAAAAAATAATAAGACTTCAAATCTACACCGATCTGATTAAGAGTCGAGGTGATCAAAGAGTGTTAGAATGTTGGAAGCACCTTAGGACCATCTGAAGATGTTGCAATACTCTGTTTAATAAACTGTGGAACCACGAAATAAGATGTACAACTCATAATTTTTCAGTGTGACTTTGTAGTAATTTGTTGGGTGTAACACTGTTAAACGCATTGTAGCCTTCATCTTACACAGACGTTAATTCTGGAATTGTTGGATGAATGAGAAAGACAATTTAAAAATAACCGGAGCAGATGCAGAGACTTTAACGAACGGAATTGTTGATGGGCTCCTACAATTGATTTATTTGCGACCGAATTAATTATGCGTAGTCATGTGTTTACCTGAAAAAGAAACATTGCCATCAAAATATTAGTCACAGCTGTTATAAATGTGTGGTTGGTCCAAAAGACGAACTAACAAATTATCGTGTACAGATGGCTATGGAGTTTTTGCATCCATACAACGCTTTGTAACTACTACGCTAACTTCGACAATATCTCACAGCTACACCGACAAATCACCTCAACTGCATGACTGGTTCGTGGAACGTTATACGACAAGTGTATTACTCCGAAGAGCATTACTCCGAACAGCGTGACTCCGACAAGTCACCGATCTCATCAAGCCTGTGATTCATCAGTCCCGGTTGCTCGACACTGCCATTACCTCCAGCATTTATAAAATAAACAGTATTTTGACGTCGATTATCACTCTCAGTAGCCGAGCATATTTCAGCGTCAGGTTAACCGCCCTACGCCTCCCGCCATGCCGCGCTAACGACTTCTTGTGATGGATCTCGCTGACTTTCCTCCCAGCTTTGAAACGCTGATTGGTTTAAATAGTTGGTGTAGCCTGTAAGCATACTCCCTTCACCCTTGTGAGCTTGCGGATAGTTTGGGAAAGGTGTGATTGCAAGGTAGTTTGTGAATTTCGATGTTTACTAAAATTGCATGTTAGTTTACAAATTTTTAAATTTCCAGATAGAATGTTAGATACAAAGAGACAATTTCCTTTTAATATGTTGATATTTCGGTAGGGAAAGAGGTTTAAAGATACCCTTGACTAAAACAAATCATATTCGTGATTTGTTGGTGTGGTATTGTATTCCCTTTAGTAACTTATCACTGGGCTACGCTTTGACGTCACATAGGCTAAATACTTCGTGTGATTATTGTAAACAATGAGTAAAAATTGTTATTGACGCAGTTTTGTATAGTTTGTAATTGAACGTAGAAGTATAGTGAAATGCGAATAACTTGTCCTTTTAAACGTAATTAAATCACCGAGTCAGTCCAGTCCAGTCCAGTGAGGTAGCAGCGCGGACTGGTTGGTTGGCGGGTTTCTCACGGCGCCGATAGTTAATGAATTCCCTCCGATTTGTACTTCCGCTCCACTCCGACTCGCCGCTGTGAAAACGTGATGGATTGGGCAAATAAGCTGAGAAATTAGCTCGTTTACAATGGATGGTTCGGTTATAGTTGTGAAACCGACGTCTCTCCGGTGATTGTGTTCAATTTGAATTTAACACGTTTTCTCTTATTGTCACGTTGAAAATATTCAACACTGTCTTTGCAATAGTAATACAGTATACGTTTAAAGTATGTAAATAGAATTAGACTTATAACTTATGAACGATTACAATTCATATATTACTAGTGTCTGGACTAAATTATTTATTTCATACATGCAGTAATCGTCAATTCAAATTGAGACACAAGCATATACCTACATAAAGATTTTCTTAAGTTCATGATATTGAGCGAATCGTTTACGACTTTTCATTTAACTCTTCAACGTGTGTAAAACTAACCCTACACAGAATTACACTGTTATACGAGTAGATACAAAATATTAAAAAAAACATTCCATCGGTTTCTATGCAATTCGAAGGGTTTGTACTTAAAAATATCTTTTACTGTTACAATTTCTTTTAGAATAATTTTACTAGTCACAAGCAAGTTTTTTGGTGCAAGGAACACACAAAATTCAGTATTCTTAGGTCTGAAATAAAAAAATAAAAAAACAATGGTTCAGCTCCGAATAAAATGAGAAGGTTATTTTCATTGTCCCATATAATTTGTCTGGTTGGCATTAAATGAAATTCTATGCCTTCACTGTACAAATATGATAGCCAAGATTCTGTCGTCCATTGTCTATTGTTTACTGATAGTTGGTATCAGATAGAACAATGGGACCACTGATAGTTGCGATGATGCTGACGAGTGCCTATGGTTTGATATTACACTTTGAGCATTTTTCTTTTTCTATTGTTTGATATTGCTTGTTCGTGGTATTTGGTTGCCACGCGCGCTAATTTGTGTTAGGGCAATCGTGAATGTGTAGGCTGTCATATCATTACTTACAGTTGTATTTTCTGACAGGAATTAAGTAGACTTATTCTGAATTAAGTTATTAGATGAATCATAGGCGCAATGGGAGATAGGGGGTTTGTTGTTAGAGGAGTATATTTATTTTATTTAGCAATATGGTAATGGTAATGTACTGTAATGTAATCCAACTTGTTCAACGTCAACCGATTGTAATTTCGCCAAATTCGTATTTTTTTAGGTTCCGGTTTACTGTTGTTCTTTTACTGTTGTAAAAGTAATTTAAAATAGTTTTAATATGCTCATTGATTATAAAAAAACTCAATATCACTACCCCATGTTCCAACATCCTCTTTATATCAATCGAATCAGCTGTATGCTGCAGACTAAAATTGACAACCAAACTGAAATGTAAACATATTAGAAGAATGTAAACATTATGAGTGGTCGTTTTATTGCTCTAGAATACCGTGACAGAAACCAAGGATCGGCGCAGAAAAAATAATTGTCCTAAATGGAAAATATATTTTGAATGCTGGGTACGTGAATTATCTGTGTTAAAAATTTGAACCAGTGAAAATACTATATACGTAGGCCTAATAGGTAGGTATAATATTACGGTCTTCCAATCGTGTATGGCCAAAATATATGAAACCCACTTTCGTCACAAAGCCAGCCTTTGAAAATTGTATAAGGTAGCCTACACTTGAGCTAACAATGTGAAAATATACTTCGCGTTTTGTTTTTAAGGATGCTCTGTCCCAAACTCGTTTAGAATAAACACAAATTATGCGTTTCGTGCAAGTTGTGAAGTGTGAAGCCTATTTACATTATATTTTTGAGAGACTGTATACATTATGCCATTGACACATATTACAAACGCTGTCTGTTTCTATGTTCCAGGATTAGTGTCTTGTTCGCCAAACCCGTGTAAAAATGGCGGAGCATGTGTATCATCACCACGGGGAGAGTCATATTGCAAGTAAGTACAAAATTGGCTACATAGACCCTACAAGCATAATTCCGAAAAGGCGTATCCGGCAGAAATGCATTCCAACTGTAGTAGAAGTCCAAATACCGTATCTCTGAAGCTGATGTACCTGCTAGAATTGTGTTTACTCACAAACTCTCAACTGTTAGTAACTGTTACGACCCCAAAATTCTTTAATACAAATAACATGGTTGAACCATAGATTAATAAGTAGACTATGTCTGCTCTGTGTCTACTTTTTAATCTATGGTTGAACTTGAAGTTGAAAGTGAGTCGAAATTTGTACCGGTATTTCGTCGATATTTAAACGTCTTCAAATCCCATTTTCAGGGTTATGAATGTAGGGAGAATTGTTTAGTGTATTTTTAATACTTAAATTGCATGGTAGTTTAATTTCTGTTTGTTATTTTCGAAATCGGATTTGTGAAATAATGGAAACGTCTTGAAGTTATTCGAAGCTAATAATTTTCAGTTTATACTCATTAGTTAAAGTATTGATTGGTATTTTAAATGTTAATATTGTTACGGTGAGCCAAAAGTGAAAGTTTTAAATAACGATCCCAATTTAGGAGTTTCTTGAAGTGTGAGAAAGTTAAATCGACACTTCAAAACTTATATTATTGGCACATTTCTTTGATCTGCTTAAACTTTTCTGTTGAAAAATAATGCTAATCCCTGAATGAATATTTCAATGTTGGTTCCTATAAAAGGCAGCTTTGGTTTTGTTTTGGAGTTAACGGGAGATTAGTACAGAAATACGTTAAATGGTTTAACTAAACGCATAGTATAATTTGACTTAATGTCGTTTAATTTACATCGGTTGTAATTCTTCAAATTTAGACTAGTCAATAATAACAGTCAACCTTAACTTCATACAGCTTAGGATCGCAGGGAAACGAATTTCATCCCTAATCAGCCTATAAAGTTTATATGCGCCGCGAACACTAACACAAATACTCAAAGTAAACATTATTGCGCTGTTGTCCGGCATAGCTAGTGCATACTCACCATAAATCTGGTAGTTAAGTATAATTTTTATTGCAAACTGTCACTACTTGCCAGGCGCGTTGCCAATGCTGTAATCTTAATCTCACATAATCTGTGAAAGTGTGACATCTCGGTAACATGTTCGGTTTTAGCATCCGTTGATTCATGGCTCATAATATTCATATATTAATTTAGAGGTTAGCTGTGTTGGTCGCCGGTTCCATCCTAGGTAGTTTCTTTTTGTAGTTTGCTACTCAACTCTACTGTCCGTTATATCATTCGACTTTTAATAGTTGGTACTGTCTTAATAAACAGCTGATCTTAAACATCGCTACACAGAACGATTTTATACCATTTTTCACACTTTATTTATTATATTCCGCTTAAAATATGTTGCCCTGGTGAAGTAATACAGTAAGTGATTTCAGTAACCTACGTTGTAATTTCGTCAGACAAACAAACATAAACAGTAGTGAGTTCTGAAGGTTGCTGGTTCGATTCCTAGCGAGATTGTTGCCAGATCCAGATGTAGTTCATTTGGGATATCACTTAATGGTGCTTTCTATCAACATGTCAACGTTAGATGTATCAGAACCATTAGACAGTTGAAATACCAGGGTGTGAACAAAAATCGTAAAAAAATGGCGTAGATAACCAACAAAATGTTAAAATGGTAAATACGCCAAACAATAATATGTATCTTACTTTATTTATGGCCACTCACGTCTGCAGTTATACCAACTTAACCCACACTCTGCTACAAATTACTGTATTGTAAATAAATACTGTACTATAAATACTGTATTAAAGTATTGTAAGTCGAAGTACTTAACTACAGTGTTATTGAGGGGTATTGGGTGCATTATGCATAACGGATAGTTGATAATCGTCATGGAAAATTTTGCAATTATCCCTAAAAAAATACAGTATCAAAAAATATCAATATTATACCCTACAACGAAGCGGTGGTTTTAAAATTTAAATTGAAAGCCTTTCAGAATATCATGTTTAAGTGCCATCGGAATCTATAACAAAACAACACCAACCGGCACAATAGACAACGCTGGAGAGACCGACAGAATATCATTGTGGCGGATGTTAAATGAAATCGCCAGTCATTATAGTTAATATTGACTATCAGTCGGCAACTCTGTTGAACTATAGAGACAGATGTGATGTGTCAGTACTGTAGTACTCGTCGTGTTGTACTATAATACTGCATCGTACTTTAGACAGTCATGGCGTGGGTTTATTTTGTATTGGAGGTAATAATTACCTATCGTATTATACAAGTCGATTTTGGAGTCGTATTGCACTCTCCTATAACAACAACGCTGTATAACAACGGCGTACCTACTTGGTGTATATTTTTGTTATCGACGTGTTACAAGATGGATGTGTTGCTATGGAAGTTAGCGTCTCAGACGGGGGTGACGAGTTCGATCCCCGATACCCTCCAATGTTATTTGAAGGGTTTAAACAGTTTTCTTGTCTTTCTTATTTCAAAATATTGAAGGTGTAGACCCTCTTTTCTTAACTCAGGTTAAGTCAAATGCTTCACACACAGCTCGAATACATAATGACGCGACTTTTTGTTATTGATTCATGATAGATGTGTTTCTAGCTTGATGGTTAGTCCTCGGACTCCGGCTCTTGTCTGGTTCAATCCAAGACTCATCCTTAGAATTTTGAAAATTTTTGGACCATTTTCTCCATTTTTTCCTTTTTCAAAATTTATTATTTTAAATTTTGGGTCAAGCCTAACATTATAAAATGCAATTTTTCCAAGAAGTTTCGCTTATTTTTATGATCTTTCCACCTACGCCATTGGAATGTTTTACCTCTTTTCGTAAGGGAACGGTCCATACCGTGATCTTGAGACACTAAACTGAGAAACAGCGTCTGGGTCTGGTAACTAATCGCTTTGAATCGAACCAGCGACCTTCAGATTTGAAGGAGAGCGCAATAACTACTCGGTTAACAATCAATTATTGTATGTATCAAACGTAAAAACATAACTTTTACCGAAAATAAATTAAAGGAGTACAACAGTGAAACCTCGATAAGAAGAACCTCGATATCAATACCCTTGATAACAAGTGTCATTTTAAAATCCTCTTGAATTTATTTTACACGTAACCACATGTAATTGCCATCATTGCTAGCCTCGACCATATTGATAATACTAGTGTTATTTGGTAATTCCCACGAGCGTCTTGTTATCGAGGTTCTACTTTACATTCATCTCCATATGATCCCCATGATCAGTTCCCAGTCTCACGACAGACCTCTTATCCCACTTCTTGTGCTATCACAACACTCTTCCCAAGGGTAGATATGACAGGATGCTTGTGTGCTGGGTCGCCGCTATCACCACGCACATGCGGGCACACAAGGGGGTGTCCACTTGCCGTGACGTGGGAACTGTCCCCCCTCAATTACCCCCCCCTCACTTCATTTGTTATTCCTTACCTTTGCGGTCGCCGGCTTCATTGTCTGTGCCAAGTTTGCCTATCTGTCTCAGCGTCGTCAGGTCACTCGCTCGCTGCTCGCTGTTCTTTGTAGTACTTTGTTTGGGCGATTAGATGTTTAATGATCTATGGGGTTTTATTGTGTTAAGAGAGATTGATAACTAATTACTATGTAATCCATTAGATCTAATAATATTAATGCATTGTTAATAGATTAGACCATAGTTTCGAGAATATCTAATATTTGACTGGCAATCAATTAGTAAATAATACATTAGATTTTTCTTGAAACTACTGAGTCATCTTATTTCAAATGGTAATCGTGAACCCACGCAGGGAAGCTATTTGAAAATTGTAAACTGTTAACAAAAACAAACTTACATTAGTTTATGGTCCAAAAATTCGAGTTTGCCCCTCCTAAGCTTTAAGTGTGTAAAAAAACTAACAGAATACAGTGGGTACCTCATCATTACCATATTTTTTTAACCTTCGAGAGACAGGCTTTTTTAATGACCTTATCCAGTACCAAACTTTTAAAAATAATTTATGTTTCAAATAGGCCTACAGATGATTTCCATACAAACATTTTCCATTTCTCCAAAAGGAAATTAAACCGACACTCGAATATCTAACCAGGCAGAATTTCCCTTTAAACATATTCTGATTCTTTGTAACATATAAAAGAATGAACATTGTGTTAATTCTCAGGCACTAAGATCATCAAAAACTATCGCTCTAAAACAAATTAAGTGGTCGGAAATCCCAAGCACTTTTCTATAGTGTGTATCCTGGAACCATTACCAGCCTACTCAGCCACACAAGTGTCGCGTGGCGCCCTAGTGATATCTGTTATCACCCCCCCCCCCATATCACCACGACCCAAGGGTGGCGGAGTCCCACGGTACGTTGGCAGATGGCGACCAACTACACATCTGTCCCTACGTCATCCCAGTGTTTTGCCTCCTGATCCTCCATATGAGTCGCGGTCATCACGTGTTTTTACGTCTCTATCGCCAGATAAAAGGGTTCATGTGGTGACTGTTTTTGCTGGGTTTTAATGGACGTTTTTGCTTAGAATTGCGTTGGGTGTTGAACAAAGTATTTGAGTGCGATTTTGTAGTTGGATGTTGAAAAAGGTTGAATCAAAGCAGTTTTTGGAGGTGCAGTAGTAAATAAAGAGAGTACGATGTTTTTGTAGCAAAAACACGGTAGGGATTGTGTTTAAGAGCGCATACTTTTGTTTTGAAAGCCCCGGATTAAATTACCGAGATTTACCCATGGTTTAGCTTGGGGAAGCTGTTTGGGGTTCACTTATTACGTTGTGGATTTATCTATATAGAATATAATACAATGTTTTTAAGGCGTACTTAATCTGCATTTGAACAACCTTCATCTATACAACGTATGACGAAAAATCCAATATATTTAGGGATAAGTGTAAAAACTTTGCTCTAGAAACAAACAGAAATATAATTTTAGCCCTACTAGATTTAATAAGCTTTAACTCTTCGGTTAAACGACGATTCCATAGTT